AACGTTTGCAACAAACTATACCGAAACTGACCCTCTTCCTCTCCTACATTCCCCAAAATGCAAACCATAGAGCCACTGGGGAAGCAAAAGCTAGACTTGCTATAGAATGCTGTTACTATTATATCGCAAAGCCATTAAACATAAAACCTTCCTTAGCAGTTCCTGATTGTCGTACTGACACTGCTTTGGGAAAATTGGGATGAAAAGGTTGTGAGGAATTAGTGGAATTGGCCAACAATCTAAAGAATGAGATTTATAGGTGACCCTGCGTGTGCATGTTGTGCTCCGATGTATGTTGTCAATGCTGCTGCCTGGAACGCACGAAGTCTTCTCGAACTTGTAGGTGTCATTCTACTCCGCAGACTAATAGTAGTGCTACGGCCGATGACTAGATCGGCATGCAGCAGGCGTAGTTGTTTATTACTCTGCGAACATAATAAACGATAAAACTTATTGATGCTTTGGCAGGTAAATCACCACCATCGTAATTACCACCTCTGTCACCTTCCGTTTGTCCCCAAATGCAATTACCTTAGCCACATGTCAGAGTGCCCGCATGCTGTACAGTTTCCTGTCTGTCATCGTTGCTCAGTGCAACTCGTCTTTCACCGCCGATGTTTGAAGGACTAAAAGCAAATTACCTGCATCGCAGGCTAACTGTAAAAGGTGAATAATGCCAAATTTCGGCAGAGGACAGTTGAGCTTTTATCTGCCATACAAGGGAGTATCAACTAACAACGAATTGATAGATCCATGTAGTAAAGAGCTTCAGATCTCAATAACTGATCCAACTTTCTGCCCTGTAACGCTGGGTGTGGCATTGATGTCCAATTCGCCTAATAGTTTTCCCTTATGGTGTCGGTAAAAACGTGCGATTGCCGTGCAGGTCGGCGGTGTCTTATCCTACATGAGTTGAGCACAATCACATCAACATAAAGCAGATTGCAAGATAGGCGAAGCCATTAAGAGTAACAATTGATACTATTTTTGAATGCTGACTAGTACATGAAACTTTGGAATAGCTTAAAATATGGCATAAAAAACGGCAACCCAGGTAACAACAAAGAATAAAGAGCTATTTTCGATAAGATCGCACTTTCTTGGAGCAAAAGCAGTCTGAGGGTTCGCGATGAACTGCTGAAAATTCGTGTATTGGGCGAAGCTGCATGAGACAGCAGTCGCCTAATAAAAATCAGGCTCGAGACTTACCAAAACGAATCAAACTGAACCACCGTCTAGACTCTTCGCCAAGTTGGCAAGACCAATCAATTGAACCACCGGGTAGAGACTAGAGGGAGGCGTGTACTCGTATGGCGGCAACCCTAATCGATTTGCTCCATGTATATTACTAGCAATAAAGAATGTCCCAGTCGAATCTGTCCACTTGTTTTAGGTTAAAGAAGTCTGAAGTGGAAGAGGTGATTGGCGAACTCATTACTCTAGGTGGCAGAGTAGGCACACCTCCTCTCTCCCTTTCACGAGTGACGTGGATTCAAATA